GCAATACATATGTGTGTCGAAATAATCATAAAATATGTATGATCATGGTTACACACAATATGGTTATTAATTAAACCCTGAATTTGTGTTAGAGACACTTTAAAACAATTCTTTTTATCGTTTATATTAGTATACATTTTATTGAGAATATGTACAACGCATACATAAATTTGTAAAATTAGATTACACAAAAGAAGAGTCAGTTGATTCATACATGCTGCCTATGATATTCGGTGCATCAGAATAACTTACATGTATCTACATACAGCTTTTCGCATCAACAATGTAATGTTCCAAATGACGTCATTCTTGTCTTCCAAGGAAGTAACCAGCAACTTTCTGTGCAAGTTCTTGCGCACGAGTTTCTTCTTCTTCATCACTGCATGACAAATATTTGCCTGCAACTCTTTGCAACTCAAGAACAGGGTCAACACTTTGATCCGCTGTTTGTTGAAGAACGTTTCTTACACCATCTTGTCCACCAAGAGAGGCTATGATTTCTGGACCACCTCGAAACATCGAACCAATACCAAGTAATATGTCCATTCTTTGATTCGACTCTCGACTGTTTATCGGCTGGGTTCCGCCTCCATTCATAAAGTTGTTAAGTAAACCAGCAATCGCGGCAGTCTGAGACATATTCACGCCTGGTATAGCCTGGGTCAAATTTCCACCTTTTGTCCCTTCAAGCGAAATTTGTGATGTCCCGTCGGATATCTGTTTTTGCCTTTCTTCTTCTATAAATACATCAAACACCTTATCTTCTGCTTCTTTAATCGGTACTTTCCCGTTTACATCTCTTGGACTTTCATTAAAACCTTTTTGCATATCGATCAGCGCATCTTCAAGATTGTCCAAATGTTTCAACCTTCCACCATCCTCCTACAGTTCAGAAAGACATTGTACTTTATCTATGTCTAAAAAAATCCCGCCCCCCTGCTACTGTCATTTACCTTGACAAATTCAAAGTAACCAATGCTGTCTATCGGCTCACACAGTATTTGTTGGATAAAGTCCTGAAAGACATCACATTCAAAATCCTCTAGGTCTGCGAACAAGTTGCTGTTTACAAAATAATGGGAAAGCTTTTATTTTCCTGGAGACACTGCATTATAAAATGGAGTACCTTCTTCACTGCTGTGATGATATTTTGTTCTCTACATATGGATGGATCCTCCCGTTCACAGACGAAAAGAATGTGGTCTTCAAATAGTATGTTTTGAATTTCATTTCGTTTATACCTAGGTCCTCATGCAGTTTCTGCAAACGCCCGCTCAAATACGACTTCAAAATAAAGTACACTCGACGTTGCGTTTGGGACAAGCACTCTGCAAGTTTCAATTCTGCTAAATTGAAGGAATAGCAGAAATCTCTGCTATGGTCTGGTTTCAACGGTGCATCTCTGGCAACTAAGTAGACATCACTATTGAAGATCTTTTGTGCAACATCTCCAGGAGGCCAATTTGCATTTTTCTACTCTCTTTCTCCATTCAACAAGACAAGCCAATTTCGTATCGCCTTTGATTCCTACAGCTGGAACAAAATCTTTCGTTGACATGTCAGAATAAGTAGCTTTTATCTTTTCAGGGTTTGGGGCTACATATCGGTTTCTTCTTCAGCTTCGTCACTGGTTGACTCATTTATACATCCAGGAGTTGGTACCTGCTCCAGAGGTATTCTCCTCATTACGCAATGTAAATCGTCCGCTAATTTGTTTCTTTGTCCGAACTGCTCCCCTTTGCTACCCGGCACGTTTGCGAATCTAAATATCTTCAATCTCTTCGTCTGTAAAATGTCGCCATCAATTACTGAATTTCGAAATTCTGTTCTCCCAAGCCCTATCTTCATTGGCACTCCAACCGTAGTGACTCTACTTTTCCTACTAGGGACGGTGTCAAGATTTGTGGTTACCTCTGAAAATATTGCTCTCAGGAAAGTGAAAGTTCCTGTCGAAGTTCCCTCAGCATATCGGATGAGAGATAACCATTAATCAACTCTCCGCAAATGTCTCGCCTGAGATTGTCTGCTCGTATATTCATGTAACATCGCAAATCTGGCCGCTCCTCGATGTTTTCAATAGGAATTTCTGCGTCTCCATCATTTTTGGAGCGCCTTGGCTTGAGTCCTTCCCTGGTACTTCCGACCAAATAAATTCTTTCTTTACAAAAACAGCTGAGAAATGCATTGATATACTTAACATAACTTATATATCGTTTATCATTTGTTACAGGTTTTGCGTGTTCCTCAAGTCGTGCGATATAGGTTTGAAGCAGATGTGAATATTGCGTCGACATCTGAAAAACAAATACATTATATATAAACATACATTGATATATTCTACGAATTATTAACAATATTTAGTGGTGAAATTTTAACGCATCACTGCTTTATTGTTGTCAAAATTATTTGGAAGCATTTTTGAACAGAACAAAGTCGAATTAACGAAACAAAATTATCAATCTATGACCAATGTAGCGCACTAAAATAATAATTATTATTTATATGACCCCCTGGGGTGGGGCCAATTTTGACCCCAGGGCTTTTATTTGAAAAAAACTTATTAGACACCCATTTGAACAAATTTATTAGACACCCACTAGAAGATGTTTCATGCTTAATATCTTAGCTCTAGCTATTTGGTTTTTTTTTAAAGTTTTTTCTTTCCGCTGCCATGGCAACCAGAGTTCTGCATGGAATTAAATTCTTTGAACAATTTTAAGGTTGACTGCCAAAAAAACACTCCTGTGAAGTTTGGATGAAATTAGCTTAGTGGTTTATGAGGAGATGTCGTTTAAAGTTTAAGCTTACCGACGGACGGACGTTAAAAGTACAAGTTTAGGGACGGACGACGGAAGAAAAGTGATCACAAAACCTCACCATGTCACATTGTGACAGGTGAGCTAAAAGGATCATGATTATTTCGGAAAGGAAAACCTATTTTTATAACATCATAACTATGGATTATGAGCACTTCAGATTACTATTACGAGAAGAAATAAAGGTTGAATATGAAATAATTGTCATAGTAAATAAATTGTTTTGTCTTCTATTTAAAATGTTATTTAAAATGTTAAATCAGCGTTACTTTGCTAGTTGGAAAAAGCAAAATATGATTCAGCGATATGAAAAATGTGTACCGTTTTAGAAATTATAACGAAACACCGGAAACCAAAAGTATACTTTTTTTAGAAATAATTAAAACTGATATCATTTTTGGTGCTAAAAGAGGGTATCATGTTGTAACCGATGAAATAGTTTGATAAAATTTGTAAAAGGTAACATTATGTTGATTTCATCGGAAGATCGGTCCTCGGAAGAATTGTAACATTGAATGTTTATGGTGTTTAAACATTCATAAATTTTACACGTAAACAGAATAAAAGGAAAGGGGACTATACCAGCATATTTCTTTTATACAGGCATCAGAGAATAATTTATATAATTTCGTTTCAAAATTCAATCAAACAATTTTAAAACTGAAGGCAACAGAGATATAGCTTCCTACACTTTAATGTTATTTTCAGACACAAATAGTTCCATTTCCGATATGAAATACAATTCTGTTCAAAAGGCGAGCTGGACAGACATCTGTCAAATAATGCTTATATTGAGACAAACAGTCAATATTTCGCAACATTCATCTGAACAGTGATCAGTATTTTTTGTTGTTGAAATATTTAATAATAAAGCCATTTATAGTGTAAAATAACAAGAATAAAGATCAACAAGGCAAAGGCAACGTTCACAGGACGCTGCCCCCGGACACACCCAAGTAGGACACCCAGAAGGCACCAAACAAAAACCTGGAGTGAACACAAGGGCGAAAGGAGTGGGACATGTTATGTGAAATAATATAAACAAAAACGGGCCCATAAGGGAATTAAAGGGAAAAGGGCTGTACGGGTGAAATGGTTGGGGGTTAAAATGGAAGAGGGGGGGCGGAGAGAAAATACCTACCGTAAACGACAATCCAACAAGACAGACATCACAAAACATGTAAACATCCAAAAACAAGTAACAATACAGACAAGAAAAACACGTGAAGGAACACAAAGGGGTACCGCCTTGGAACGGTCAGTGGTAGTTAAACCACTGGGGAGTTTAAACCGGTTTTAGGCGCGCCAAACCTCACTCTTAGCCCCAATATGTTCCTGAATGACACGAAAATGTATATAAAATTAATCCCCGCCAAGTGAAATTCTAACAATGGTCATGGTTACATTAGACGAAATAAATAAAACACATACAAAATTATGTAAATATGTAGAAAAAGTTACAGCCTAATGACCATTACCAAAGTACTCGATGCCTTAAAGGAAGGCAGAGCAACAAGAAAATCACCTACAAGGGCCCGACGAAGCAAGGCAGAAGACGAACATTAAGACAATTCAGTCCCAAAGGGCTTTAAGAACTGTCCATCATAGAGTCTCCCACTTGGTCCGTCATATGTAATCAAAAGAGGAAAGCGTAGCGTCCAACTGTCAAAGGGTTGGACACCAAGCATGCGGTATGCCTTAAAATAATTGGCTCTTTTAATAAACCGTTTGATAATTTTAGTGAAGACGGCAGAAACATTACTATGACCCATGATCCTACGAAGTTTGTAAACCACATCTCCATAGAAGTCAGGTTTGCCAATACCTTGTCGTAAAAGAGTTTTTAAATTACAATTAAATTTTAAAACTAAATCTGAATTACGATGGTAAAACTTAGAAAAATATTTACGCAATTTATGATAGCGATAACCTTGTTTAAGAAGTTTGTTAGTAATAAATAAATTGCGTTCATTACAATTATCAACACGACTGCACGCCCTAGCAAATCTAATTAATTGAGAAATATACACCTCATTTGTAAGCCACAAGAATACTAATACGTATTTAAAATCAATAATTCAAGCCTTTATTATATTGTACAAGTATAATAATGATATTTGTGACGACATTACTCGATATTGAGCATAGATGAATTCTTACTTATTTCAGTTGTAAAATGCTACGTCGGCATAGTATATTTTAAGACTTGGCGTATCTGCAACAGAGCGTTAAGAATATTGAAAATTCTGTAATATTGTATGACGCACTGGAAAACCAATGTCTGTTTGGTTGGCTAGCACCCTAGCATAAACATTATTAAGACAGACGTATATTTGGCCTAATGAAAGGTATGTTAACTTATTTGTTTTCCATATTAAGGTAAATTATAGTTTCATTGCTGAGAAAGTCAATACAGTTGTTCTAACGTACTTTCGTTTTTAGTTCTTATATTTTACGGCAGGCAGCCATGTATGATTTTTTCTTATTTAACTGATAATCAAATTTTGTTCGGTAGAATAATAATAATATTATTAATAAATATATATTATAGTGTAAAATGTCTCAGCTGCTCAGCCATTGAAATTGTCACTTAATTAATGAATATACTGCTGTAATACACACATTCATTTATATTCATCTTCCAGAAATATAAAATGCCAATGGAGGTCACTGATGAAGAATTGTTTGAAGAGTTAATAGCAGATCTGGAAGAACGTTCTAAGCCAAGTAAGAATGATATAAGATACGAAAGATATGTTAAGTATATCAATTGCTTCATTAGTAAATTCGGAAGAGAAAGAGTGTATCTTGTAGGAAGTACGAGTGAGCGATCAAAACTTGCTTTTTCAAAAGACAATGGCGATGCTGACTTCTTAATGGTTTCTGGAAAACTAGAGATTCCGGCTGAAAACTTGGTCTCAAATCGTGAAGCCCCATGCTTTGTTTGGATTCGTGCAGACTCATGTAGCAGAGATATAGGCCTCGAAGTTGTTGGGGATGAATATATCTCTGCTAACACTCTGCGAGAAGTACGACCAGAGTTATTTACCATCTTAAGAGCGATTTATTTGCATGTCACTGCTACTGTGAACAAATTACCAGAAACAGATGAGGACAGGACTATTCTATCTGTTTCCTCAAAGGTTGGCATACAAACAACAACATATAGGTCATTAAAGTTTGAAGAAAATATTGAAGATTTAAAAGAGTTTTTTCTAAATAACGAAAATATTGAAAGAGCAAATGAAAAAGAAAAACTGCTTGAAGATAGATGGAAACAAGTAACAGTTATTGAATGTGAGAAAAAGATTTATAGACGGTTGTATGAAGCATCGAAACTTGCCATACCTTCTGACAGAAAGAAAAATAACGGAGGAATAGCTTTCTTTGTGCAACTCGTTGAAGAAATCTTAGCCAGACAAAGTGGTGCATTACCCAAAACACCTTCCGATGAAATGAACAATTTCCAGACAAATCATGACAATGACACTGATCAGAAAAGCTCAAAAATGGTAGATATGGCTTGTAATAAGGACAAATTGTTTAAAGCAACATACACAGGAAGAAGTCACAAAGATTTTGTTCCAGCTTTGGTTATTACAGGAGAGTTGGAGGGTATGAGACTATGGAAAAAACGAGTTCTTGACAAGGGATGGGACGTGAAGAAGGTGAATGATATTTGTGATACAGAAATATTTGTCGTATCAAGGGTCTGTCCAAAAGGTCCAAATGCTGAAAAAGATTTTTGCTTGTCGTTTAACCTGGCCGAGCGAAAGTTAATGATAGCAATGTCAACTGTGGAAAAAAGAGTGTTTTTGATACTAAAGGCATTTTTAAAAGGTGTTTTTGACAACATGCATAAACAACAAGACAAAGAATTGAAGCTTACAACTTATCACATCAAAACACTTCTGTTTTGGCTCTCTGAACAAAACAAATGGGAAGATACGTGGTCTGTCCAGAAGCTTACAGACTTCGCTTTGGGTTTTCTTCTGGAGAAAATAAGCACGAAGGAGCTCCCGCACTATTTTATACCTAGCCATAACCTTTTTCTTGATTTTGAGACTTCAGATTTTCAGTTATTGAAAGATTGTGTAATGAAAGTAGGAGCGGACCAACTTAAAAGCTTGGAATACTTTATAAAGTTAAGATACGTTGACAGGGGGGAGATTACGTTCACGAAGGAGAATATGGATTGCTTTTGGGGCATGTCCGCCGATGGAGGAAGAAGTGAACAGAGAAACAAACTAGAAGAGGCAATGATCGACTTTCAGAGAGGCATATATGATAAAAGAATTGAAAATGGTGATTCTCCATTACAGCAGGCGATTTCAGAAACCATTGAGTTGTGCCTCAGAGACGATGGATGCATTGATGTTTCGCAGTTTGAAGCGATACATCTATTGTTAACAAAAGGTGATGGTGATATTATTAAATTAAAAATGGATGAAAAGACAAAAATGGATGGCAAGGAAAAGGTTTCACTAAGAAAGAAGACTGGCATGATTTGCATGTGGTTTAGTCTGAAATTTATATAGATTTTAGCTCGACTGGGGTTAGTACTCCCTACGATTTCCATTCTACTTTACTTTGGTACTTTTAACACAAAGATAAAACAGTTGGTAGATAAATTTGGAGGACCGCCAGGGGTAATGGATATTCTACGTGGAGCGTTTTGTGGAAAACGTTTGAACTTTAAAGAAGACGTTAAAAAGCAAATTTTAGAAACTGCTGGTCGTTATTTCAATTGTCCAGACGCAGAGGTAGATGCAACATGTTCTGAGTTAAAGTATAAATTAGCTGGATATTTCCGCTGCAGAAAAGAATTCTCAGACCTATCTGGAATACGACAAGTTTAACACGTTTAATACATTCAATTCGCTGACACGAATTGTTCTTGCTAGTAAGCCAGCCAAACAAAATTTAATAATCTTTCGTGTTTTAATTACAATATAACAATGTGAAAACACTTTTGACGATTAAAACAAACAATATAAAGGAAGGGGGACATTGTGATAGACAGCGATTCATTTTTTTTCTTTCGTACATAATCGATGTACTTTTGCTTTTATAACTTTATTATTAAAATTCAAAATAGCAAACAGTATTTTAACTAGTTGTAATTACGGTGGCATGCGTTGTTACTTATTATTTGGCATTTGTGATTTAATAGTTTGCCAATACTTCAACATATTTAATTTAACCTATCTGAAAATTACTATATTTCACCTAAAAGTTTTATACTATATAAATAGCACATGTATAAATCTACATGAACTTAAATCGGGAGATCTTGAAAGAAAATAATTCATTAGTACTGACCTGAAATAAACACAAAAGAGTAACCTTTACATTATCGTATTATGTTTCTATTTATTTCTTGATCATATGCTATTTTTATATTATTATTGTTAATTTGTATCTGATAACATTTAATGACTTACTACAGTTATTGTTTTGATAAAGACACAAAGGTTTATTTTAAGGTGAATACTCGTTCATGTTCAAGATGTATAAAGAATTGGAAGTACATGTATAAAAACATGTTGTGTTTTTTGTGTTTTTTCCCGCAACCACAACAATATAGCAATAATTAATTTGTTACATACGTGCATATACTTGTATAAAAAAATATGTGATTGTATATATAAACTATTTTTAATTTAATGGGCTGGTGGTTCAATCCTGGAGCAAAGCGAATTTTCTTCGTGACAATTCAGTACCAAAATTACCTTAGAGGGGGCTTGATAGTTGGCTTTTGCGTCGTTTTGTAAATAATGGAGGATGTCTATCAACATGAAAAGAACAATACGTTTTATTACATATCCAATTTTGCAAAAAGAAAGTTTAATTAAGATATCTTTGGTCTTCTGTTGAGGCAGGCAAAACAAATTTTAGGGGATTTTTGTAATAGTTAAATAGTATACCATGTATATAAATAAATGAGGAGAAAGGGCCAAAAAAATCTCGAAATGAGGGCTTGGCAACTTATATCGGACATTGAGTAAATGAACCATGAAGGATAATTAGACGGACACTTTCACTATCACTGGTAAGTTATCCAGGAAACTTTGTTAAGTGGTCCGACCAAAATCTGTTAAACGGCTGAAAAAAAAAACACCAAATCAAACCAGGTTAAAAATCATTTCATGTATAACAAAACATTTTGCTCTTGATAGGCGTAATTTCTCCATGACAAGTGACCTTGGACATATTTGTCTAATGGTCATTGTCTGTTACCGCTGATTAATAAAACATGTGGGATATGTAGGCGATCACTTGCGACATTACTGATAAGTTATAAGGTAAAGTCTGTTTGTTGGATCTGTTGTCGATATTTAACAAAAAAGTGTTAAAATCGGTGTTAAAAACAACAGAAAAACAAACAAACAATCGCAAATTTGCAACGTTCAATTACCGCATGACTCTTTTGGTTCACATCATGATACATGTATATGAAAATTGATCTGTTTTAAAGTGACGGAGTTTCAAATGAAAGCGTTTAATTTAAAGACAAACATTCGACATACCGAATAAATATGACATTAATACTGATTATAAAAGGATTTCTTAGTATAACTTAGAAGTCAATTTATGACAGTCTAATACTACGGGAAACTAAAACAAGTTTGGGCCAAGCTCATAGGGCTAAAAGCGCGAGATGAATCAGTTACTTCTATTTATTGTATAAATTAATCAAATAAATTTCATTCTTAATCTCGATTTTTTTTTCAGAAACTTGAAAATGTGGTATTGCACCGATGAATGCATATCAGCCCTTGAAGAGCGTGCTTAACCAAGCAAAAATGATAGACGATACGAACAATATGTTAACTCGATAAATTGTTTCATCAGGAAGTTTGGAAGAGAAAGGGTGCACCTTGTTGGTAGCACAGGCGAGCGCTCCAAACTTGCGTACTCCAAAGATGATGTGATGCGATTTCCTTATCGGAACTGGGGGAAACCTGGAGTTTCCTGTTGAAAACCTAGTTCAAAATAAATAACAGCTGTTTACTATGCTAAAGGCGGTTTATTTACCCGTTACTGCTAAAATGGACAAACTGCCCGAAGCCGGAGAAAACTTAACAATGCTGACAGTATCTTCAAAAGTTGGATTACAAATAACGAATTATAGAGGATTTAAGATGGACAAAGGTGTAGAAGATATCAGAAAAAATACATAACACAGGCGCAGAAAGAAGTAAAAGTGTTTGGTCTAAGGTTTTGAAGAATGTAGAAATTCATGACCATGAAAAGAAAATTTATAGAAGACTATATGAAATAGGGAAACTGGCTTTACTTCTGGGTGAAAGGATAAAAGATAATGGAGGGATAGCCTTTTTTGCTCAGATAATCGGAGAGATTCTTAAGAAATATAATCCTTTATCAACGACCGCACAATGATATCAGTCATTGTTCAAACAGCAACGATGAAGACGAGAATGTCTTAAATCAAAATGATTTGAATTGTGTCGATCATATAAACAGCAACAAAGCTGCATTTAGAGCAAGTTTTTGGGAGACAAGTCATAAAGACTTTGTGCCTGATAAAGGGTACGCTTAGATGTATGGAGAAATGAAAAACTCGGGTAGAAAAGTTAAAATGGTCCATGGACAGGGTTGACAGAATTTTCAACGCAAAAGTTTTCGTCGCAGCAAGAATGTCACCGGTAAATCCAAATCAAGGAAAGGACTTTTGTTTGTCATTTAATATGCTAGAGAAAGAGATGATGTTGTCAATTTCTCCAGTGCAGAAGAGAGTATTATTGATCATGAAAGCTTTCTTAAAGGGTAGAATTGAAAAGCGTCATGCTGAACTTAGAAAAGAGCTGACATTAAAAACTAATCAAATCAAACATTTGTTGTTTTAGGTGTATGTAGAAAAAGTGGGAGAAATGAAATCAGTCTCTTATCTTCTGAAAAAAGCTTTGGATTCTCTTACAGATGCACTTCGGAGTAAGAAACTAAGCCATTACTTTGTAGAAAGTAACAATATGTTTGTTGACTTTAAAGACACTGATTACAAAATCTTACTGACATGCGTTGATAAAGTTAAATCAAGTCCTGTGATTGGATTATTCATGTAACCTTACATGTATTTATGTATTGAATAGTTACGTGAACATATTTTTCTACATTTATTGCATGTATTAAATCCGACCGGCACAAAAATTTATCACACCTGAGTGTACACATTGCACTACCATGTAACACTATGTTATCACACCATAATATTACACTATCATACAACACTACCTAATATATTTAAAATATCTGGAAAACAGTGATCTCTCGAAAGCATTAAAAACAGCAAAATTGACACAGATTGATTGAGTCTGTACATGAGGGATAATGAAAAAGTGTAACATCCCTCACGCCCCCTAGCACCGGCTTGAGCGATACTCAATTCTCAAGACTTAATAGTGCTGGACAAAATGATCCCGAAGGACCAGAAAAATATAACAATGCTGAATTATAATAACATCATAATACCATTTAACGTTATCATGTCAAACCATCTTATCAATCTATCATATCAAACTACCATATAACAAGCTTATATTAACTACCATACACAGCTATTTTGTCACACCATCACAAAAAGAATATCACGCCACTGTCTTTTGATATCAATTTTATCAGGCTGATAAAGGCTGAAAAGGTTATCCCTAAATAATCTTTAAACAACAGAAATATAAAGCTTTTATTTGAAAATTAACTGGCTCTGATAATATTTGGAAAAACAAACAACAACATTTAGATGAGGAATGACATAACAAAGAATTATGTTACTTATCAACGCTATACAACATTTTAATGAAATGTGGTGAAAGAAGAATTACTTTTTTAATTTTCATATCATTTATCTTCATGTTTGTTTTTATTTTATATATCTATTGATTTTTGTTTTTCATTATTGCATAAAAATAACACACAGAAATTTAGATAGAGGACTTTTATATTGTTTACGTTGTATTAATTTATAACTTATGTTAACGGGAGACAATCAAAATAACATAGCGGGAGACAAACAAAATAACATAGAAACCATTCAGATGTTTGCTCCCTTTCGAAATACAAAAAGGCAATAACGATGCATTACACTTTGCGCAAATAAAGAGACTTCGAACTTTTGTTTTTGCTTTTTATGGACAATTTCTTCCGATTCTGGCTGTAAAGTTATTATGCTCTCTATGAGAGACAAGAATTCATCAAACAAGTTGGAGCAACATGACGTTAACATTATCATTTACTACATGTAATTAATTAAAGAGTAATTTCATTTGTAATTTTTGGTATTCAAATAAAAACATAAAGTTGTTGTTTTGTATTATTACTTCAGCTCAATAAGAGCGTTATCTCTATCCATTGAATGTTTAGAGCTGAATATCCGTCACATTTAGATAAATATAGTGTGTGACAGCTACTTGCGATGCAAAATGATAGTACATTGTACCGAGTATTCGAGTTCAGTGTGTTTATGGCTGATTGAGATCAAACTGCCACATAACTTTATACCGTATGTAGAATAATTTAAATCGTGTCATGACTTTGTTTAGCATTAGATCTATTCATTTGACAAACACTCAATTATTATGTGTCTTATATAAACAGGCAAGAATGATGATACGGAGGCAGAAAACACGCCTGTTTTAACCAAGAGAGCCTTTTTATTTCTATTTTTCTTACTTGTAGAGTTGCTCTGTTATGCTGACAGAAACAAGAATCGTAATTAAACATGCCACTCGTATGTATTCATAATAAAAGTAAAGATACACAATGAAATAACTGTTTCAAATACAAATACATTGTATATGAAATTAAAAAGTCAGGTTTCTACCATCTACCATTTATATTTGTTACACAAGTACTGATTCCTTATGACAAAACATTGTTGAGACATAAACTGGTCTTTAAACTATGAAGTCTGGGTAGAGAAGCAACAGCACCTTAACTATTAGACTAGTAGATTACCACTTTTGTCACTAAAGCTTTATCTATATAGATTTGTTTTGAGATGCCACATATAGACAGACGCACCGTGTCGGGGGTATTCATACGTCTGTTAATTTGGGAAGTACTTTATAAATATATAAAAAACCATCTGTCAAATTTGGTCGATGATCTGTTTTCTTGTTTATTTAAAGGTCCATTTTTAATCAAAATATTTTATTTCTCAAAACTTTTTTATTTACAGTTTCAAAACAAATACCCATTTGTCACATAGATGACATTTTTGTTTTTTGCTTTCTTTGCTGTGTTAGCAATTTGTATAATTATGATGAATAAATTATTGTATGGAAGTCAAAATACTGTTTTATTTACATTTTACTACCTTTATGGCACATTACTTCACGTTCAGCGGTACTTTTTTCAGTTGTGAAACATCTGAAATGCACTTAATCCATTATTTAAACATTATTAAAAACATGTTTGACATTTCTAAAGAATTAAAAAGTAAGGATTTCTGAGGCATAATGGGCCTTTAAAATTGCATGCCTCCAGATATGCCATACTATCA